ATGTGTTCATTTTTATCCGAATATGTACCCATGGATGTATAAAGAATAGTTCTACCGCAAAGTTATTCTCCGCCGGGACTTCCGGCAACAAAACCATGCCGTTATCTTTATTCTGATTGGCCAGAAGACTCAAAAAAACATCAGCAAAGATGTTTTATTGAGAAGATTATCACTACATCAAAGAAGTTTTCAAAACCGTTGATGTTCTCCGGCATTTCCAGTCCAACGCCTACTGCATGCGTAGCGTTAGAAAATGGGGCTTTCAAAAATAAAAGTTTGACTTTTTTCCGGGACGGTACGGGACGAATACCGTTACACCCGTAATACTAACCGATAGGAAACATTTACAAATAACATTTTATTCCGCTAACGCTGCTCCGTCTCTACAATCAGTCTTGTTTGTCAACTTTGAATGCTGTGGGTTTACAAACCATGACATAATACGCTACTTACAATCTATTTTCTAAAATAATGATCCTCAATATTTTTCTGAAGCAACCAGCATGACCGTCCAGAATCAACAGAGATGGACACATATGCCATATTTAAGGTAGGCTATATCTTCACGTTAATGAAGTAGAAATTATATGTTTGGTTTTAAAGAAATGTTCAATTTAGCTGTAAACCCGTTCTATAAAAGTTGTAGTCATTCTACTTTCTCCCAAGTTAGTGGACGTACACATCAAGAAAATTGTCCTGCGAGAGCTTAAAAGCTATGAAAGGAAGCTCTTTCCTCATCTATCACACAATTCTGAGAGTGAAATGCAAAATGAGGACACCATGACTTCTGAAGAAATAAAGCCAGACAACGATGCCAGTGAGGGTGTTCTAAAGATCACGTTACATGTTTTAAAGGAAATGGGCCAGAGAGAAATTGCTAACAAACTGGAGAAACGTAAGTACCAAGAATACGAAGTGTAGTTTTTTTCAAATATAAATGTTGAGGCCAGTGTCTGAAGTAACGTGAAAAATATTGTTCTGTTCGTAGGCAACAGATTTCAGCACTAACAATCAATATATTAACATTATACTCTCCTCTTTATACAATCAGACATCTACGGTGAGCTTGATGTCTGCCAGCGCAAACTCCGACACAAATTGAAAAAGTTTGAATACATTTATGAGGGAGTGGCACAGCACGGGACGCAGACACTTCTTAACAAGGTTTACACTGAGCTCTACATCACAGAGGGAGTCGGTGGGACTGTAAATAATGAGCATGAGGTCAGGCTGATTGAGGCTGCAAACCGGAGACGAACAACAGAAGACAAACCAATCAAGTGTGAAGAAATCTTTCAGCCTCTGCACGAACAGGACAGATTTATCAGAACAGTGCTGACGAAAGGAATCTCTGGCATTGGGAAAACAATCTCCGTGCAAAAGTTTAATCTGGAATGGGCAGAGGGAAGAGTTAACCAGGATATCCAACTGCTCATTAATCTTCCCTTTCGTGAGCTGAATCTGATGAAGGAGAGACTTTTCACACTGACTCAGCTTCTTCAACACTTTCTCGCAGAGGCCAAGGAATCAGGAATTTCAAATTTTGGCAAATACAAGGTCATGCTGATATTTGATGGGTTGGATGAGTGCCGGCTTCCCCTGGCCTTTGACCTCAACAAGCCCTGCCGTTGTGACTCGGAGCCAGCTTCAGTGGATGAGCTACTGACAAATCTCATCCAGGGGAACCTGCTTCCATCAGCAAACATCTGGATAACCTCAAGACCTGCAGCTGCAAATCGCATTCCAGTCGTTCTGATTGATCGAGTGACGGAAATACGAGGCTTCAACGACCCCAAGAAGGAAGAGTACTTCAGGAAGAAAATCTCTGATCAAAACATGGCCTGTAAAGTTATCTCACACGTTAAGTCAACCAGGAGCCTGCATATCATGTGTCACATACCAGTCTTCAGCTGGATAACCGCCACCGTTCTGCAGAGAATTTTAGAGCAAACTGAAAGGAAGAGAAAGCAGGATGATGGTGTAACAGGAGAGATGCCTAAAACTCTGACGCAAATGTACACCGACTTTCTTGTGTACAACTCGTTGATAAGAACTCGAAAGTACTCAGAAGAACAAGAGGAACCACCGGCCCAGGAGAAAATGGACGAAGAGATGATCTTGAAGCTAGGAAAACTGGCCTTTGAGCACCTGATGAAAGGTAACATGATCTTCTATGAGAATGAACTGAAAGAGTACAACATCAACATTGCTGATGCTGCAATATATTCAGGTGTGTTCACACAGATCTCTCAGAACGACTGCGGATTTTACCGGGAGATGGTGTACTGCTTTGTGCATCTCAGCATTCAGGAGTATTTTGCAGCAATGTTCATTTTTCACAGATTCATCTGCTTCAATCAGAACTTGCTTGAGCCGCACAAAACCATTATTGACCACGAGGCTCCCAGTGAAGCAACAAGCCTTCTCAAAAGTGCAGTGGATAAGGCCCTGCGAAGCGAGAACGGACACCTGGATCTGTTTCTGCGTTTTCTTCTCGGCCTCTCGCAGACCTCCAATCAGATCTTGCTGAAGAGCGTTCTGACCACGATGGAGTGCAGTTCACAGAGAAATGAAGAAATTGCAGAGTACATCAAGGACAAGATCAGGCAAAATCTCTCCCCGGAAAGATGCATCAATCTCTTCCACTGCCTCAATGAGCTGAATGATCAGTGTCTCTTGGAGGAAATCCAGAAATACCTGTGCTCTGGTTGTTTGTCAGAGATTCAACTGTCGCCTTCACTGTGGTCTGCTCTGGTCTTTGTGTTGCTGACCGCAAAGGAAGAGTTGGATGAGTTTGACTTGAGGAAATATTCGAGATCAGAGGAAGGTCTCCTGAGGCTGCTGCCAGTCATCAAAGAGTCCAGAGTAGCCTTGTGAGTAAATATCTATATCCTCCGCACTTTTATCGTGCGATACAATATTTCTATGCTTTTTAAAAATTGATACATTTGCAGGTAACTAGTTTGTTTGATCCGATGTCATATTAATCAATGATAAACGTGCTATGTGTAGGATCTAAGCCCTGTGAGCAAATGTATTAAATTGCTTCTCATTTCAAAGGTTAAAAGAATGTAGCCTTACAGAGAAATCCTGCAAATTAATTGGAGATGTTCTAAGCAACTCATATCTGAAAGAACTGGACCTGAACGATAATGATCTGCAAGACTCGGGAGTAGAGTTGCTGTCTACTGGACTGGCAAGTCCAACATGTCAGCTAGAGAAACTGAGGTTTGTGAAGAAGTGCTGGCTACCTACTTATTGCAATTAATAAAAAGAAATGCTGATTATGGCCAGTATTATTCTATTTTTGGAGAATACAGTGTTGATTTGCATTCTACGGATTACAATGAATAAGTTTGACTCTTCACTTTCAGGCTGCAGTTCTGTGGGATCACAGAGATTGGCTGTGGCCATTTGGCTACTGCTCTTAAAGCCAACCCAAGCCACCTGAAGGAACTCGATCTGAGCTACAATCATCCAGGACAGAGAGGGGAGGAGCTGTTGTCCTGTTTACAGAGGGACATTGAACACCTCACTGTCAGGTATAACATTCACATTTCTCAATTATTTTTCTTTAGTATACCAATTTGTTGGGTTTCTCATATCAAAAACATCACCTTTGTATTTTTTCTAGATTAAATGGCAATGCGGAATGCTACTTAAAATCATCTCTGAAGAAATGTAAGTTTTTTTGGTATCTGACTTAAATATCATTTCTTTTTTTAAATAGTACTGTAGTTTTAAATGTTTTTTTCCCTTTTTTGTTTTTCATCAGATGTATGTGAGCTCACGTTGGATGTGAATACTGCCCACTCAAACTTGTCTTTGTCTGAAGACAAAAAAAAGATGACGCGAATGGAATCAGTTCAGCCATATCCTGACAGCCCAGAAAGATTCACAGACTGGGGGCAAGTTCTCAGTAAAGAGGGTCTGCATGCTCGTCACTACTGGGAGGTAGAGTGGACTGGCGAATGGACTGGTGTTGGAGTGGCTTATAAAGGAATCAGCAGGAAAGAGAAAGGAAACGAATGTGTCCTTGGCTACAATGATAAGTCCTGGAGTCTGCGCTACTGTCGCGGCAAATACAGCACATTGTTCAATAAGAGCGACGCAGACATATCTGTTCCCTACTTCCACTCCAAAAGGATTGGGGTGTTCTTAGACTGGCCGGCTGGCACGCTGTCCTTCTACGCTGTATCTCCAAATGCCATGACACACCTGCACACGTTCCACACTGAGTTCTCTGAGCCACTGTATCCAGGATTTAGGCTGGGGTTTCCAGATTCTTCATTGATTCTGTGCCAGCCAGAATACCCTTAAAGGTCAACTATTATGCAAAATCCACTTTTTCATATCTTTTACACATAAACATGTGTCCCCTCTGTGTGAAGAGACTCTGAAAGTTTCAGGAAAAAAGATTCTCTCTCTTTTTGTCCTGATCCATTTATATAAAAACCTGTCTGAAAATGAGCTGATCAGATTTTGGCCACTTTATGATGTCATAACGATGTGTTGGCTTGTGTAACCAT